CCAAAACTCCTGTGCCAAATGAAGATCCATGATAATTAGCTGTGGCTTAAAGTTTCCAACTTTCAAAAAGATTTGGAGTCATTATAGATGCTAGATAAATGTATGCATCAATTTAATTTCCTTCAACTGATGAGGCATCTATTGTCATTAGATGACTCTATGGATTTGGTAGATAAGAAACCTATCTACTTTGTCAAGATATAAATGAAATTTGTAAATATCTCTTCCATCCTCCACACACAAGCTAGTAAGGAAAGCTAGGTTTTCCTCCTGGGATATGGATCTGTGGTGACTGATAACATATAATGAGGGAATTTCATTTTCATAGAGCATAATGCTCAGTGTTCAAAACTATCCTTGGTGAAGGAGCAGGGCTGGAAAATAAAATAAGTGGATGTGTTGTATCTAAATGTTGACTTACATAAAATGTTCCCCCTTTTTAAAGCGTGAATGTTATTCAAATCCACTAGAGTAAATGGTATAATATGGCCAAAAGACAGCAGATTTTCTACTTTTGGCAGTAGATCCGGAGCGACATGGCTCAGTATGTGCAAATCAAGAGATTTATCAGAGCCAAGGCATTCTCGCTTGATAAGAGATTTGATCCAAAAATCTGTTGAAGTATCCTGTTTATTGTTTAACCAAAACCAGTTGAAGTAAATGAAAAAGTTGACTTTAGAGGGCTTTGGATCAGACCTTTACTTATAATAATAGAAATGCTGCGAATCAGATGTGCCCACACATTAGGACAGCTTTGTATCACTCCGTTAGCCACAAGGGATCCTTTAGGTAGCTCAGAGCTGCTGGAGCAGATCCTGTGCCATCCCCCTCTCCTGTGGTTGGTACATAGAATGCAGTATCAATTGATACTCAGAGAGTAAGGTGCTATTCAACATGAGTAGGAATACCTGAGTCTGGCCCTTAGTATATATTACCTCTTTATTTATTTAATGTTGAGAGCCAAGTACTATTTCCCCTCCCACACATGAAGAAAAAAAGAGTCTTTAGAAGGACTGAAGGAAGTGAATATTAAATCCAGAGTGCCAGCATAGGTTTTACAATTCCTGTTAAAACTAGTCCCAATTAACACCTGTGCCCCTAGTTAAATACAAAATGTAACTATTAACATTCTGTCATACAGCTTACAGTTAGACATTATTGCTGTGCGAAATTTCAGGATGTCCTGGTGAGCGAAATGTCTTCAGTTTTCTTTTAAAGTAAAATTGATTTTTTGAAATTGAAAACAAAAAATATCCAAGATCAAACCCAGGTGGTCTACTTTAAGCCAATTTTTAAGATATTCTTATATGTTTAGCTAGTCCATGCTGTGCAATTTTTAACTTCTGAGACATGAAGTATTACTGTGAAAAGGAAATGAAGAATTTCCCTGATAGATGCAGTTATTTGACTATTTTTGGTCCAGGCACTTTCTATAAACAAGATTGGTATCCCTTCAGTTATATTTCTCATGGAAACCATACCACAAATTTATTCTGTAACTGTGAAAGAATGCTTTTATGTTATTACATGCTTGTGATTCACAACAAGGCTGAGTGAAGTTTCTTTTTAAATAAATAATTGTTGTATGATGGCAGTAGTTGAATCTTGCCCTAGGCTTTTCTGAAGCTGGCAGTGCTTGCGTAAAGAGGCCTTGACTCCCAGATGGGTGCCTAGGCAGAGTTAGTTGACCTACTTTTGCTCTGACCTTGATTTGCTCAGTGAGGTGTTTGTGTACTCGTGATCAGCTTTGCTGCACGATTAAGCCAATCACGTGACAACTGGCACTTAAAAGGAAAACAAAACAAAACACAGATGAACAGTTAGGATTTGTTTTTTAGTGTCTGATTTGCCTCTCTTGAATTTCAGTGCAGCTAATAGGAATGAAGATAAAATACAAGAAAAATAATAAAGTGTTCAGATATAAAGAGAGAGACTGCAGAGAAAAGATGCATAATGTGGGGCAGTGATAGCATGCTTTGGTTCTTTTCTACAAGGAAGTTTAATCAGGAAGTGGCCTATATGGCATTCTTTCAAGTAGGTCCTTGAAGTGTCTTGGCAACAAGCTCAGGGTCATAATTGGAAGCATTTGGCTGTGTTTATGTTTGTGGGTGTTTATAGTGTGTTACAGTAGTGTTGTGTTGCATTATTTATAGAATTTTTTGTGCAGTTGAGCAATTAGCAGCTGGAGGCTGAAAAAAGTACTAAATCTACCTTTTTTTACCAATTTTTTAAAAAGCATTGCACTACTACAAGGCAGTTGAGAATTTATTATGGGAGATGCTGGTGATGCACTGATTGTGGGGTTGACAGTGTTTCCATTTTAAACCTCATTTCAAGGGATTTATAACATGGCTGTTTAAATTTACATGAGACTGAAATGTAAGACTGGTTTTCAGGACTGATGTGAGCATTGTGGGAGGGATTGTTATAAATCCATACAGTAAGGTTTTTTGTGGGTTTTTTTGTTTTGTTCTGTTTTTCATTTAATTACCCAGATCTTTTAAAATAGTTTGCTTTTAGGAACATTTTTAATCCTTCAGGTAGATGCTTTTATTTTTTATATATTTACAAATATTTCAGTAGCAGCAGAATTAAACAAACATTTAATTGCTAGACTGATTATATATCTCAATGATAATAAATAGAAGTATTTTGATTGAACTTCAGAATGTAGCTTTTTGTGTGAAAACTTACTCAAGCAAAATAAAAACATGCTGTTCCTAAAACAATCTTTTGTTCCTAAGTACTGCAGGTCTTTTAAATTGGTTTATTTTAGGTGCCATATCTGATGCTTAGAGTTTCTCAGGTTGGAGGATTGTGCCATAGATGCACAGTACTCAAGTAGCATAGTGACCATCTGGATGAGATGCTACTTCTAGTATTAGATGCTTAGCTGTTACCTAGAGAAGAGAGGCAAAGTAAAACATGGGGGAGGGGAGAGTGATGAAGAGGCAGAGGTGAAGAGCCTAATCCAGTGGTTTTCAAACTGTGGGTCGCAACCCAGAACTGGGTCGTGGAATGGAAGGGATTGGGTCACGGCGGCTTTGGTCAGCACCGCCGACCGGGCCATTAAAAGTCCCATCGGCGGTGCTGCCCGGCTAAGGCAGGCTAGTCCCTACCTGTTGCAACACCGCACTGCACTCCGGAAGCAGCCAGTAGCAGGTCCAGCTCTTAGGCAGGGGGAGGGCCACGGGGCTCCACACATTGCCCCCACCCCAAGCACCAGCTCCGCACTCCCATTGGCCTGCAATCAACTTTCCCTTCTAGGGCTCATACATATACATCACCCACTGGTTTGTGGGCTGAGTGGAGCTGCAGCTAGGGACGGAGCTGGGCTGGGGGTAGAGCAGGGTTGGGTGGCACTCCCTTCCTGACCCCCTTGGGGGCTGGCCTGTGCCCTACTGCATGCCCCCTTGAGTGTTCCTCTGGGGCCCCCCCTAGGGAGTGCACCCCACAGTTTGGGGACTACTGTGTTACAGTATAACCGAACCTATGTTTGCAGATTACTTCAGTACTAAACACAGTCATTTTTTTTTGTAATGCACTCTGTAGGTGAAGAATCTCACTTTGACTAACAGGGCCAACCAGAGCTATATGATTATTAAAACTCCTGATATTAATATTTCTAATTTTGAGATAAAGCTGCAGAACATGATGCTGAAGCCCACCAGAGTCAGTCAATGCAAGGTTTCATGTTGTTGTTCAGACTTGTACTGCCTGCAGAACTATACAAACCTTCATTTATGTATAAACAAGCCTTCTAAGTTTTAATCATGCCGGAATAATTAAAGAAGCCATTTATGAAGAAGTTTGCTTCTTTCAGTCTTTTGCTTGAGACAAGTTAATAAACTATCAGGACTGCTTTAAAGCAATAGTTTTGTATAATGATGGTAAAAGATTGTGCTATAGGGAAAACATCCTCGTTCCTGGCTGAATGTTTTATCATCATTTTTCTCATAATTTTATTCTGCTAAAAGCATTCTCAGTCCTTCATGATGGATGTATGGTGCATCTCATAATTGGCTGTTTCCTACTTCTTTTATTTTCTTCTATCAATCTGCCATTACTGCCAGTTCAGTTTCTGTAATTTTTTCTCCTTTGTTCTATAGCATTTGGCATTGTTACTGGATTATAAAAGGTCTGTTTGCCTGGCATGAAAATATGCTATTAAGATTTGACTGTCCGTAGTATGAAACTCTGGAACAGTTTGAGTTGTCAGTGGATGCTTTTTGTCTAGAAGTGAGGAGAAACTATGTGAATGTTGTGTATGCTATTTGCCTACTCTTAATTTTGAGGGCGAAGTTAGTGTTGTTTTGGTGTAAGTAGTTTTGAAAAGTTTACGATGTTTGATAACTGACACAACTTCATTTATAAAGTTTGAGAATCTTACTGTTTTATCTGAGGGTGAAGATGAAATTTAATCTGAGATGCTACAGTCATAGGGGCCTTATTGCTGGATCAGAGCCTTATTTTGTAGACCACTCCCTAACCAGTACTCAGTATTTCTTTTCAGTATGGTTGTAATTTCTGTTCATCATGCCACTTTATTATAGTCTTTGCCTTTTTTAAAACACGTCATGTAATTAAGAATATTATGGCAAGATTTTAGCATATGAAGATCAAAATATATCCCTGCATTATTTATTTGAGATGAAGGGGCCAAATCAGCCTTTCTGTATGTGGTGAGGGTGGAAGGAGGGGCAGCCAGAAATTAGAGGGCTCAATTCATGATTGCACCTTGTGTAGTATTTACATGAGTGAACAGTTAGTGCAAAGTGCTACCATTCTGATTTGGTAGTGTGTTACACTCACTTTGCATTGGTAATTGCACCTCGTACAGGGTCCAAAGAGTTTCCTGTTAGTCATGCCATCAGAATGGTGCAGGACTTGTCCCCATCCAGCCTAGAGCAAGCATGGAGCATAGCTCTCTTAACCAGTAGCTATCCCAAACCAGACATATTTTAAAAGTGATGTGGCTCTTTTGTTTTCTTCCCATTCAGGTTTTTGAAAGAGCTTGACTAACAAATTGCCAGAGCATGACAGAAGTTTTAAGGTGATTGCTGAGGCAGAATCAGCTAGCAGATTGAGTGCAGGCCTTTTCTTCTAGGGTGGAGCTAGGCTTCCAGAAAGTAAGTTTTAAGGTAAGAACTGTCCATTGTTGTTTAGTTGCTGCTGATGTGTAGTTACTTTGGGTATCTCATATTTTATTACGTACAGTATTCTGGCAGTGTTCCTTGCAAAATATAATTAAGTGGGTTATTTGGTCTATAGTACTCTAAAACATTATTAAGGCTAATTGATTTCTTTTGTACCTCTGCTCAGTCTTCTCAGAGTTTTTTGTTTTTGTTTGTTTTGTTGGTTCTCTTTCCACTCCATTTTTTTACTACCTTACACCTTTATGTTTTCCTTAGTCCCCTCTCTAGTACTTTTTATCCAATTCACGCATCCTCCACCACATCTTCTGCCTTGTTTCTTTTTCCTCATACAGCTGTTATGATGCTTTGATCTGTTTTTTAAGCCTGTCCCCACTTCTAGGTATTCCACACTTATTACTTATGTGTTGTACTTAATAGATTGCAGTTAACAATGTAGTGTATGAAAGCATTTTAAGAAATTGATCATGTTATATTACTTAGTTTGCAGCACATCCTGGCAGCTGTATGAAACATTGCTTGACTTTAAATCATACGACTTTTAGAGAAAACTGTCTTAGTTATATACTATTAAATATTTATCATATGTGTTGTTGGACACTGTTTACTAAAAGAAATTTAATTACTCTTCAAAATTTCATAAGTGTGCTGGTTTTATAATGAACAGAAATTATGTAAATTCATCTCTAGCAAATTCTCTTAGTTTTGTTTTTTTTGGGGGGGTTGCTTTGTTTAAAATGAAATTTGTAACTTTTTTCTCTTTAAATATAATGTAAAAGTAATGGACCCACATGTTTCTTTTTTTGGTAATTCCAGACGATCCAATGGCTGACCAAAGGATGGACATTTCCTCTACAATTAGTGATTTTATGTCACCAGGACCCACCGACCTAATCTCTAGTTCCCTTAGCACTTCAGGAATGGATTGCAATAGGAAAAGGAAAGGAAGTTCTACTGATTATCAGTAAGTATGATTTCTATTAATTTTAACTCAGTTGAGAGGAATACTTATCTTTTCTACCCTATTGCAGTTTTGCTATGAAGAAGTAATGTGTTTTGGCATAGTTTCTAGTAGTTTGTTTTATTTTTTTCATAAACCATTTGAAAACTGCTCAGAGATTTGGAATGTTAGAAGTCATGCTGGTGCAGAAGGATTGGGCAAAGTGCTTGATTGGTTATCAAATGACTCCATACTTTGACATGACCATCACCACTGCATGTTTGGGATGTTTATGCCTGGAGGGTATATGTTATACATAGAAATCTCGACACATTTGCTTTCTTTTAAGTTTTGCCTTTAGAAATACTCACTCTTTTTCTTTCTAGCCTGGTTTAAAGCAAGGTATAGCAAACAGCAACATTACATTTAGACTTTTTTTTTTAAGATAACTTTTAGCAGTTTCTAAACTTTTTTTTCTCTCCATCTGGGGCCTCTACAGTTGGATTCATGGTACTAAGTACATCTGGCTTTACAGGCAGAAAAACATGAGAAATAGTATTTCAACTTCGTAATGTTACAAATCTTAAGTAAGGTCATGCAGTAAATCAATGTTAGAGCTGAGAGTAGACCTCAGATGTCCTGTTGCCTGGTTCTTTGCCCTAACCAGTGTTCTGTGATTTGCTCTAATGCCCAGGTAAAACAAAGCTAAGCCAAGCAGTTGATCCAGTAGGAATTTGATCAGGACACAACTCTTTGTTTTTAATGAAAGATTCTATGATGTTTCCTTTTTTTTTTTTTACTAACTTTGTCAATATTGTAGGGATACTTACAATAGATATATGAAGCTGGGAAACTTAATGAATAGAAATAATTTAGACCATAAGGATGTAGTATACCTAAATAGTAGGAGGAAATGGAAAGTAGGAAATTTTTAGGAAAGTGAAGATTTTAGTAATTTCTGATGAATTTCAGAATAGATAATCCATATTCTGCAGTAAGCACCTCAAGACCAACCCAAAGGCTTTAAATCACTGTGTAAAAGAGTAAAAATCAGAATAATTTACAGCAAGCTCTTATCAATTATTTAACACCATTATTTCCATTTGGAGTATAGCCTGTTTTCATGTAAGTCTGTACAAATTCTGTCATCCTAGGTCCTGAGTCTCATTTTGGAATGTTCCATTTTCTCTTGACAATTTTTTAATCCATATTGAGCATGTCAGTTATGAAGTAAATTAAGTTTCTTTGAGAAGGATCCGCGAGGACAGTTTGTACTTTAGGGAAATCCAAATTCAGAATTCTAGTAGCCTTTGGAGACTCTGGACATATGTACTGTATACATTTTCACCTGCAATAGTCATTTGGCCAGCCTTTTTGGAATAAGATCACTGTTCTAATTTAAATTAATTTTAGCAGATTTAGCTGGAGCATTCTTTATTTTATCAACTTCTGCTACCTCAAGAAAGCATTTTTCCATATTTATCTTTCTGAATGGGTAGCACTGCTGAATTCCTTCTTTCTTCCAGAAAGAAAAGTCTTTCTTGGATATGTCCTCACATTAATCTCAAGGGTAGTATTTGTATTTAAGAGTTAAATAAGTGTTAAAACACACTGGTTCCTTAAAGCCTAAGTTTAATAATCTTTCACAGTTCTCTTCTCCTGACCATAAGACACACCATAACCAGGAGGGAGTTGCTCCCTTTGGAAGTAGGTTATAAACAATTTTGTCACTTTAGATTATGGAAATTATTTACTTTTCCAGACTACGGAATTGCATGTCAGTGTTTATGAATGTGGAAAAACTGGAAATTAAGACAAACAATAGCAATTGGCAGAATGTAGTCTAGTAAGCACTAATGCTCTTTGTACTTCGAGTAATAATTTTTTCTTTATCTTTCCAGACTTGATGGATTTTCTTTTGAGTAAGTATAAACAATAATCTCTCTCTCGTCCCCTCCCTCACAGAATATCTGTAACAAAGTTTTTATTTCTGATTGAGACTCTGATGACCTCAACAAACTACTCAAGTTCTGCTCTTTTTTGATGGTACTGGAATGTCTTCTAATGTACAGTTTGGAGTACGCTACTCCTCATGCTATAAATATTCTTATTAGATGAGCATTGATTGATGAGGTAGTGCTTCAACTATCTCCCTTGCTGGCAACGGGGGAGTGTTAGAGACCCAGGTTGTAGACCCACTGAAACTGAGGACCCGAACCCCTGGATTTTTACACTTAGGCATACTCCTCTCCAGGGCGCCACTGGGCCTGGCTTGTTGGGACGATCCCAATAAAAATTTTTCACTAGCTCAGGGGCATGGACGTGGGCCACGGGCTCCCAGGATCATCCCTTAGGATGGTAACCTTTCCAGGCTCTGAAGTATTGGAGGCAACTTCACTACAGACAGGAGGCAAGGATTTTGTGCGCGATATATTCTTCATGCTTCTGAATCTTGACTGATGGGGTTGTTGAGACTGATCCAGGAAGGGATTCTCTATGCAGGGCTTGAGAATTGATGCCTGGGACACTTGGTGGATGCGGAGAGACTGGGGAAGTTGCAGCTTATATGCAACTCTGCTGCCCCCTATTTGCAAGTTTGGAAAAGACTGAGGAACTAATTGTCTAATTTTTGAGAAGGCCTGATCATCCTGACGTGATTTGCGATGAGCCAGACCTTCTGGCTCACAACAAACGCCAAACATTCTTGGTGTTACCAGCCCACAAACCGCTTGTAGGCTTTTTTAGCCTCAGCCAGGTGCCTGCGGAGTTCATCTTGGATATGGTGAATTCACTGTACCCAGTCGACGGCCACCAGCTTTGGGAAGTCTGTGGGTAACACAGGGTGGATATGGGGATGATATCCATAATTTGAAAAGAAGGGGCTCTGCCTAGTGGAGACACGATCGGCACCATTGTAGGAGAATTTGATGTATAATAACGGGGAAACCCAGTTGTCCCAATGGAAGTTAATAAAGCACATAAGTATTGTTCCAATACTTGACTTGACCCTCTCCAACTGCCCATGGGTCTGGGAGTCATATGCAGTGGGGGTGGATGCATGAACATCTATTAGGTGGATTGTCTCCTGTCAGAAGTGAGACACAAATTTTGGCTCTCGGTCAGGGATGATTTGGTCTGGGAGCAAATGACGCGTCACCAGCAGCTGGGCTATTGTTTTGGCAAAAGGCTGACAGTCACAGGAAATGAAATGGGCCATTTTAGTTAGTCAGCCTACAATTATAGGAACTACGGTGTGGCCCTCAGAGTGGATTGTTGCACTTTGGTCATTCCCTTCCTAGGTGGAGTCTTCCAGAAGTGTCGTCTTGAGAAACTGTCTGAAGGAGGATTATCAGGTTTAGGTGGGTTGCGGTGTTAACAAAATTACAGGGCTTCAGGAGATGGGGTGGTTCCGAGTTGGGCTCCTCATTTCCTTGGTAATATTCCCCTTTACTTAAGAAGGTGTCTGCTTTCCCATTGCTGGTTCCTGGACGGTATGAAATGGTGATGTTAAATCAGGAGAAGAATAGTGCTCACTGGAACTCTCTTTGGCTCAGGGCCCAAGCCTTCTGGAGATACTCATGTTTTTCTGGTTAGGGAATACCTGTACTGGATGTCAAGCCTCTCCAGATAGTGTTGCTACTTTTTGAAAGTGGATTTAGTGATGCGTAGTTCTTTGTCCAGTATTTCGTAATTCCGAAATCCAGCGGGTGTAAGCTTGCATCAATAATGTGCACATGGGTTGTGACGAAGTGGGAATGTTCTTATTGTTTCCTCTGAATACTGTAGGGGTGCCTCAGTTTCCCCTATGCATTTCTTAGGTATCTAGGTGGGGGGATCAGGGTGTACAATTGTTGCAGAGCCCAAGAATGCCCCTATGATACTGTCTGGACAGAGAATGGCTTGCACTCTGTCTCCTGGCAACTAATGGCCTGGGCCCCTCCTCTGCAAAGATGCCAACTGAAGGGGTTGGAAAACAAAGAGATCAGGTGACTTCCTGGCCCGGGAAAGAGACAAAGGCCAAAGAGGAGGGGCTGGCGAGTGTCAGTTTGGGGCTGGTTGGGGACATAGAGTGAGTGCAGACGTGAGTGTCTGGCTCACTGCCCCCCAAAATGGACCCGGCTGAGGGGTCCTGTTCTCTGTACCTACAAGCTCTGTTTTAGACCGTGTTCCCGTCATCTAATAATTCTCTGTTCTTCTTCGAGTGCTTGCTCATAT